GCTAACTTTTTGCCTATGGGAGATTTTTGAGCTCTTTTTTTTTTCTAGATGTCTAGATGGTCCGTGTGAATATGTGTGCAAAATTTCAGCTTTGTAGATTTTAATTGTTTTTTTTAAGTCCCTAGAGCCTAATTGGTAGGAAAAGTAAAAAAAATGGGCCAAATCGGTTAATGTCCAAATAGTCTAGATATGCCCGCGCAATATTTCAGCTTTGTAGCTTTGTAACTTTTCAAGATAAAGGTAGCTTGACAGGCAAGTTAATATACGCCCACTGGCAGCTTTGATTTTTAATATAAAATATTTGGCAGTACAGTAACAATTACCAGTATTCAACCTTTTTGAGGCGATACTGAATAATTAACCAAGTTTCATCAAAATTATTCAAGAATTTGACCTTTGAGGGTGTGTACTAAAACTAAACGCGGCTAAAACTTGAACGAGTTCTCAAGAACAAGGGCAATACCTCATACTAAATATTTTTGATTTTTGTGATTTTCGATGAGGATTATCCTTTGGTGATAATAAACATTCACACCAAGTTTTGTTAAAATCCGTCAAAAAATTAAACATTCTAGAGTGTTAACAAGCTCAAATCGAGCGCGTTTTGAAGAGGAAAAACTCATTCTTATTATTTTTCGATTTTTCTGATTTTCAATAGGGTTCATCCTTGGGTGATACCAAAAACTCACACCAAGTTTTATCAAAATCTGCCCGGAATTGCGCCTTCTATAGTGTTTACGAGCGTTTCAAGAACAAGGGCAATAACTCATACTAAATATTTTTCGATTTTTCTGGTTTTCAAAAAAGCTCATTCTTGGGTGATCACAAACTATCAAATCAAGTTTCGTCGAAATCAGTCAAGAATTTCAGAGTGTTTACGAGCAATTGTGGACGGACGGACCGATGTACCTTGCTGGATATTCCCTTCAAATTTTCGCTCGGCGGATTTGTAACTTTTTAAGATCTTTTTTTTTCAATTTGAGCCCTTTAGTGAAGCAGTCCGTTTTAACTAGAAATTTACATTTTTTTAATGTAATTGTTTTTTACTTCGGTTTTATAAACTTTTCAGTTTTAGGCGAATTTTTGTTTTTTGTCGTGTGGACTGTGGCGGAGTCAAAAGGGGGACGGGGGGGGGGGGGGCAGAGGGGTAGGTGCAATCAAGTTTTTTAGGCAAAAATCTCATAACTAATTTAGAAATTCGGGAAATCTCAGATATTTCGCCCTCCCCCGGACGTTAATCTGGTACTGTCATTGTGTGTGACTTATGTATCCTAATTAGAAAAGATAAACGCGTGGTTAATATTCTTGAAAGCAAAAGTTTGAATGTTTACACGTAGATTATTGTGATTGAACAGTAAACCAGGAATTTCTCTAAACTTTGTAATTGATAGGTTGACATTTTGATTTTCGAAATATGTATTTAGTAAATTTGTTTAACTTTGTGAACATTTTTGGCCCCTATAATTTCTTGCATCAGTTGATTGGTTCATGCACCTTTTGAGGTGTCGATAAATTAGGGACATGTGACACGATTATCCTCGATGTCATTCTTCAACCCATTAGATTTTAAGATCTTGAGCACATATCTAACGACTGAATGCTCCACACAAAAATTAACCTTTTGATAAAGTTTGACAAATATCTGCTCAATCTTCTGGAACAATTAATGCTAACCAGAGAGTCCAAATAGCCTATAGCCTATCGCTCATTCTGTTCAAAAAATAAAAGTATATCATTTCAAGTCATAAAATCTTTTATCAAAAATACAAAGAACTCTACATATCGAAAAACACCTCACTGCACTTTTATCAATAAATTCTTCCTGTTCTTCTCTGCAACCCGAGATGTGCCAAGTGTTATCTCGGCAAGTCTGGAGTTTTGACATGAGATACCAGTTACAATGTCAGAACTATGTTGGAATTGAATATTGCCGCGTATACCGATTTCGAACTTCGATCCATATCTTTAGCTTACTTCGTTTCTTTCCTTCAAATTTCATTTTCATACTCTGTTAAGATTTCTTACTACTTACTACACTTAAATGACCTGGAACTTACCTTTTTATGACAATATTGAAAAATGTTTTTCTAGTGTCCTGCGGTGGTAGGTCTGTAACTATTTTCCTTCCAAATAATGTGCATTTTATTTAAATGTAATACTGAGAGAGTGAGAGGAGGGGGACACCATTCAAATTCATCTCACCCTCGGATTCGGTTAGTGCAAGATGATGAAAAGCTGGTTAATTTCACTCACTGGATGTCTTCGTTTACTCCTGCCTAAATACTTAACATCACCTGCGCAGGGTACTATGACATCGAAATGTAGGCCTTATCAAGGACACTCCCCTGGCAGAAATGTACAAAATCCTTGTATCTCAGCTCCATATTACCTATTAGAGAGTCATTTCATTGTTGTAAATAGCATTTATAATATAAACTGTATGCATACTCATAATTTATTGGTTCCAGTTTGATAAAAAAAAATATATAATTACAGTCCACAGTGTTTAACATAGTAGTAAATATTTACTTACCGGTTTACCTTAGCCTTATCGTCGACGTTCCAAAAGCCTCATCCGATTCAACAAAGCTGAGTTGATCCAATTGTAAAATTCTCAAGTCTAAGTCGGATCGGATGAGGTCCTCGGAAAACATGTTCTCCCTCATAGCACTGTATATACAGCGATTGCGAGGGCGCTAATGAACATGTCACCTCAGACCGGGAACAGTTTTTACACCGTCCACTGTGTATTCCAGAGTTTGAAAACCCCAGAAAGAAACGAAGTAAGCGTATATCCAGATGGAAGTTCTTTCGGAATACGCGACAACACCCATTTCCAGTCGTCCATCGTTCCAGTAGATCCCTTAAACAGACAGCAACCGTCAACAGGCTGAGCTATTTCTCAATGTCCCGTATATTTCACCACTAACGGATTTTTATAGTGGGGAATACGTCATGTTGCTATAAATAAAGTTGCTATGCATACAACAGTATTTATTCTTTATTCTCGATCTAGTGTGTCATAAATCTGTACTTAATTTACAATGTAAGTCTGGATAATTGAGAATGCTTACAGAATCACTGTCTATAATTGGCTACCTTATTCTCCCAATCAAATCGGTCCAATCGATCCTCTATTTTGCCCCACAGCCAACCCTTTTACCAGAGCTCACAAATGTAAAATTGTATCAAACCGATCTGAAAGTAAATGATCTTCAGAAGGGGTCAATGAATTTTTTTTTACAATTTCCTGTGTACCGGTAGGAAATGAATTTATCAATGCTCAATAACAAGGTAGGCGAATCGCACCAACCAAAGTAAAAGTAGGAAAAACCTTAACTTGGCACCGTTCAATTGGATGGCTAAATATAGTAGCAATATTCATACGAAAAATAATAAATTTTCACCTAAGATGGCACTTAAATTGAAATGCAACTCATTTTTCAATATTCTAATTTATTTCTCAATCGTTCATGGTTTTTAAATTCTTTAATCACCGTAAACCCGTAATAATATTTAGGTACTATTTTATACGCGTAAAGATATCCGCCGGTCGTTTAAGGGTGTTATTAGGTTTTACACATTTAATGTTTTTAGTGTAAAGTTGGAGAAAGGTTTGGGTCTTGTCGAAAAAAAGCCATGAAATTTTGTAACCGTATTTTACTGTTGGCATTTTTGTATCTGACAGCCTGTTTAGCTGATGATGACAAAGTGGATGAAGAGGATCTTGATGGTAAAATATAAACTTGCTAGTAGGCTACTGCAGGTTTTAGATTAATACGATAAGAATAAGTTACAGTGGAATTGCAAGAACCATAGATAGAGTCTGATTGAAAATTGTAATGGTGCAAATTGATGCTACCAGTGTCCCTGATACACATCTTAAGAAATTTTTAGAAAGCCTCTTTACTATCCCTGTAACACCGGTGGGTTCATTCTGACGCATTGCCCAACTGCACAAAAACGACTTGTAAAACGAAACTAAAGGTTTCTGATAAATCCGGAATGGCCATTTGTTTCACATGAAACGAAATATTTCAATCTGTTGTCCTGCATCAATTTTCTTTTTATTTATAATTTGGACCTGTTAGGGAAATTGAAACTATAGTTTCAAGACTTTCGTACTGTGCCTTTTTACAGAGTCATACTTTTCGCTATTTTGGTGACAATACTCACGGTTTTAGATTCCGCAATACTTATTTTCCTGTGGATCCATTCTATGTCTGAACTGTCATTTTTTCTAAACAATCGCAGGTTCGTCTATTTTTGTCTCCAATTGCCGACGGTAGTGTGGAGCCAATCAACCCCAGCTTATACCTTGTCCACCAGGACATTCTGGGACTTATCTGGAACCAGTGGGGGTTGAGCCACTGCCGAATTATAGGGCACATCTAATAAGAGAATTCTAAACTTCTCGCTTGATAATCTGATTTACTATTCAGAAGATTTTTACTTTCAGACATTTCAGTTGCCATTTTTTCTAGCACGTGGGTAACGTTATAGGCGCGCAGTAGAGGGACATAACTCTTGCAAGTTATGAGCAATATTTCATTTATTTAACTTGTCTTGTTTCGTTTTATGGATTTATTTATTTTGTATTGCGATTCTGATCTGTACTGGGTATTTATTTATCCCAGATTTTACTATAATACTATAAGTTTCGATTTCCCTAACAGGTCCAAATTATAAATAAAACAGATTAAGATATTCCGTTTCATGTGAAACGAATGGCCATTCCGAATTTTATCAGAAACCTTTAGTTTCGTTTAACTAGTGGTTTTTGGGCACTTGGGCATGTTGGGCAATGCGGCAAAACGAACCCACCGCTTTAACACACATGGCAGGCAATTGAAAAATGTTTTTTTTGAATATTTATGAAATGCCCAAAAAAAATTCATACTGAAAAATATGTAGAAAACATTCCCAATCAGCATTAAAATCCTAACATGCAGATTGGGCACCAACCCAAACAGAGCAGTGAAGTTATTCTGGTTTTTGTTATGTTGCTTGTAGAAGATGGAGATTCTCCTACTGAAGAAGATGATGTTTTACTTTTAAATCAAGAAAATTTTGATGAAGTTATTAATTCAAGAGATACTGTACTTGTAGAGTTTTATGCTCCATGGTAAGTTTCAGAAGAAAATGGAAATCTACTGTCATAATGGCTCATTCTCCCTTCCACAGTGTCAAACTTAATTTATTGATAAAAGGCAAATTACAGTCATAAGATTGTCCAAAATGCAAATCTGACTCCTCTGCAAAAATACAAAGTGAAACTTGTGTACTTTTCTCTAGGTGTGGTCACTGTAAAAGTTTAGCACCAGAATATGCTTTGGCTGCTAAAGAATTAAAACAACTAGCGCCTCCTATAATTCTGGCTAAAGTTGATGCTACTATTGAAGAAACTTTGGCTACCAGGTAAAACTCTTTTTTTCTTATTACACATTTAATTAGTATTGCTCAAGTGTTACGGTCAGTACCAAACATACCATATTGTTCATAGATATATACACGTCCATTATCCTGTGATCAAAGGTGCAAAGATAAGGTAATAAATTTAAAGAATTCTAAAACTGGGTAAAAATTTCAAGGGCCAATGGAAATGAATCAAATTAAATGCTGATCTGAATTCAGTAAGCACTCTAAAAAATTGTCTATTACAATAACTTGTAATTACTGGTTGTAATAAGCTAAGACTACCAGTTTTCATAGTTGAAATTTTCCATTTCATAATACTGCTCTCAATCAAATATGTTTTCAGATTTAGTGTAACTGGTTACCCTACCTTGAAATTCTTCAAAAATGGAAATCCTCACGATTATGATGGTCCAAGACAGAAAAATGGTGAGATTAGATAAATATTTGAAAGGGTTATTTTGCATTTCATTCGTTTAAATAGAAACAAAATTTATAGCGCAAGACATATCTCAATGTCTAGGACTGGTTGTGCTAAATGTGTTAGGAACTCCTTTTCAGGAATTGTATCGTACATGAAAGAAAGAGGTAATCCGTCATGGAAGCCCCCACCAGAGGCTGTGATAACATTAAATACAGATAACTTTGCCGATACCATAAACAATGAGGAATTGATGCTAGTGGAATTCTATGCTCCTTGGTAGGTTTGAGCGTCTTCCAAATATTCACAAAGGTAAACTCTCCGTAAAAATAGTGTAGCATAAAGCCAACAGACTCATTAGAAGATGTTTACCAAAGATGGGCTGTTTTGTTAAATGATTTGATTATCCTAGATTGTGTTGTATACATGAATTGGTTTCATGTCCTTATGTTTCTGCTGCAGTGTGCAATTAGAAAATTGTTTCTGGGACAGCAGTATTGCTGTTGCCTTTTTTCAGTTTTCATCCACAACTGGTAGTGGCTGAATATTCAAGAATTCTTCACTGTTTGCTTCATAAAGAAAAGGTTATTTTAAAGTGATTCTACGTCTTAGAATGATCATAAAATTTAAGTCCTCAAGAATGGACAATATGAGTATATATTCATCACCTGGTGTCATAAAGTTACAACAGAATCCCTGTAAAATTGGAAAATTCATAAAAAGAAATAATTGAAAAACACTTAATCTTAATTTCAATAGTTAATTGCATATTTATGGATAATTACTAAGTTATTTGGATTTATCGGATTATATAAGGATTCTGTTATGTTATTTATGACACCAGGTATATCTACATATGAATATATGCTCTTATTGGCCAAGTTTAAAATTCTTAAATTTTATGTTCATTCTAAGAGTATTCCTTTGATACTAATTTCATTCCTCCAAGGTGTGGCCATTGCAAGCAGTTGGCACCAGTTTATGAAAAAGCTGCACAAGAACTGAAAAAAGCTACTCCAGCAATTCCATTAGCTAAAGTGGATGCTACTCAGAATACCGAATTAGCTAAAGAATATGGTGTCACTGGCTATCCTACATTAAAAATATTCCGTAAAGGTCGACCAAAGGATTATGGTGGTTCAAGAGATCAACGTGGTATGTATTTATAATGTACTTACCAAATTGAAATAGCTATACTTTACTACATTGCCCATATAACTTTGTCTTGGTAAAACTTTTGAATCTATTTCAAGGGGATTTCAATATATGTCTGTTTTTCTAAAAATTCAGGATAAATTTGTCTTACATGTGGCTTCAGTGCATATGAAATCCAAGTAATTGCCAGTAACAAGATCCAATGTTTTAATGTTAACATTTGTTTTTTCAGGTATTGTAAACTATATGTTGTCTCAGGCAGGAGAGGCTGCTCGTCTTCTCCCAACTTTATCAGCTTTAAAACGATTCAAGCAGCTTCAGTTTATCACAGTTATTGGATTCTTTGATAGTGAAGAGGATCCTAATCTAAGAATCTATATGGATGCAGGTAGGTGTATGCTTGAAGTGCTGAAGATATTAAACAAGTTTGATATTTGCCGAGATTTTAAGCATGGTTTATGTGATGATCAAATAGGAAAGAGTAAACTGATTCTTTCTATTTGAATTATTGCTTTGATATCTTTGGATGATGATTTATTTCTTCTAACAATTAATTACCCAGGATTATTGAAACTTTATTATTTTTCTTTAAATGTTATCAGTCATTGCAGTGAATTTCTTTTTCAATTTTTCAGCAAATGATATGCGAGATGATTTTACCTTTGGTTATGTATTAGATGACAGTATAAGAAATGACTATAAAGTCAATGTTGGATCAGTAATAGTTTTAAATCCAGAAAGGTTTTTCACTAAATTTGAGCCTAAATGGCATGTTTTAAATAAGGTAGAACATTTTTTTCTTTACTTATGTATTTAAATGTTTTTTTCTTTTTTTATGCATAAGGTATAGCAAAGATTTGGTAGCATTAAAGGGCAAGCGTGTGTCAGCTTCATAAAAAACAAAACTTGTGGTTAAGCCCTGGCCAATAATACCATTTTATTTAGTTTTACGTTAATGTCAATGGAGAGGAGCTCGTTTTAACAATTCTGATTTACCTACAGATATTTTTTTGATTTAAAGGAATGAGTGTCCAGAATGTTGCAAATACAAGCTATTATTGTGTCTAATATTAACTATAGCTCTGTAACTATGTTGGAGATATCAAAAGTTAGATAAGGGCAATATTTTGAAATTATCTTGGCTGTCATGAATATTTTGCAATATGAAAAGTTTTTTATCTCTGTCAACAGGCTGATCTTAGTGTTTCCGACATAACAGAGTTTGTAAAAAATCACCAGATACCATTAGTGGGTGAATATTCTACCTCAACACAGAAGTTTTATGGTGATTTCAAGCCACTATGTTTAGTATTTTATACTGTTGATTGGAGCCATGACCATAGGGAAGGTAGGTTGCCTAGGTTACTGTTAAATTAACCCACCCATCCCTTCAATATTTCCATTTGCTTGATGGAGCCGCAGGGGCTCAGTGAGTTAAATGCTTGCTCGCTAACCTGAAGGTCCCGGCATAAGTCGAGATAATACTTTCGGATTTTTCAACCCAGTTTCCAGTTGGAAATTGAAAAGAGCAGGCTAATGCCGCTGTCCTGGCAAAATTTACCTCATTTCCATTTGCTTGATGATAAAATCACTAAATTTCAACCAATGTTATGAAACTTGATCATCATGAATTGAAAAGATTTTAATGTCATGCTGAGCATATCTAACAATGCAATTATTATATTTGAAGGTAGGAGTAAAGCTGTAGGGTAGATAGATACTAAGTGAGCTTATCTGCTAGGTAATAAAGTTTGTTTCCATGGACAGTGCTTTTGAAAGTCAATACAATGTCAGCCATCAGTTTTGCCATTTTTGAAAGTTCTGCTTAGAGAAATGGAGGAAAACATTGTAAATTTAATATTTCAGCGACTCAACTATGGCGTAATAAGATAGCCAGTATAGCTAAAGATTATAAATCTGTAACATTTGCCGTGGCTGATGAAGAAAGTCATGATCACTTGTTGAAAGAGTTTAACTTGGAGGACTCTCCAGAAGATATTAATATTGGTATTATTGGTAAAGATAATAAACGCTACCGTATGGAACCCATGGAAGATTTTGAATCTGATGAAGTTCGGGAGTTTTTAGACAGTTTTATTGCAGGTAAGTAATTTCTGAATTGAAGTTTGATGAAGCACTTTTCTTGGACGAACTTTAACAAATTAATGGTGAAATACTTAACTATATAATATTAGGAAATATGCCTTTTGAATGTAAAATAAGCAACAAATTTTGATTTAACATAACTTGGTAATTAATGTAGAATGGGTAGGATTCTGGTTCTAAATGTAAGCTTGATTTGTTTGCTGTCCATATATTTTAAAGAAAAAAAGTGTGTTGTTGTTAGTTATTTTCATTAATAACTATTATGTATTTCAGGAAAACTGACCTATGAGGTAAAATCACAACCAGTACCTAAAAAACAGTCTGGACCACTTAAAGTAGTTGTTGGGAAAACATTTAAAGATATAGTTCTGGATAAATCGAAAGATGTGTTAATAGAATTCTATGCACCATGGTGTGGACATTGTAAGAAACTTGAGCCTGTTTTTAATAAATTAGCCAAACAAGTAAAAGATCAGAAAAATTTAATCGTTGCAAAACTAGATGCAACTGCAAACGATGTGCCGGACGAGTTTAAAGTTCAGGGATTTCCGACGATATATTTTGCTACAGCGAAGGATAAAAAGAATCCTATTAAATTTGATGGTGGTCAGCGCGAAATTGCTGATTTTGAAAAATTCATGCGTGAACATGCAACAGTTAGTTTTGGTAAAAGTTCAAAAGAAGAATTATAATAATTGTATGTAAGGTAATCTCTTGTGTATGATTTTGGGTGTTAGTATTTTAATTCATGTCTTAAACGTTATAAAATCTTTTAAACACTTGTGTTGCATAGGGTATTCAGATAGGGGAAATAGTATTTATACTCTTTTTACTTCTAAATGAAATTGTTCCACTTGTTAAATTGTATATGTATGTATGTATGTGTGATACTAGTTGATCTAGAGAAAACCTATGAGAAGTCATACTTGCTATATCACTTGTTATATATGGCTAATTGTCTTACATCATACTTCAGTATTCGGTTGTTTTAAAATAGTTGTGTTAAGAAGTTATGAATCTTCAGCTTCCCAATTTTACAATTGCACTTCAAATGTCAATTTCAACTTTTCAATATAGCCTTTTAAAGATACGTTTAAAACAAGATTCTGAGATTTTTTGCTAATCTTTAAAAATGATGTAATTGGGATCAATCTAAGTTAAGTTTTCATTTTGTTGTTAAGTCATTGTATATTGTATTGTGTTCATTGAGATGAGTGTATTCTATTGCTTTAGATGATAATTATTATTTTATGTTTTTGATAAACCATGAGCTACAACTGTATCACCTTTCAAAATGAAAGAAATTAAAATATACACCCATTGATGGGACTGTTGATAGTTTGTTCAAGAAAACAGGTACTTATGTAGAGCTTAGATGTCTGAATTTGTTATGTATGTTAACATATCATTAAATAAGAGCCTCTTTAAAATGGAAGAATGTTTTTAGTTACAAATTATTGCCTTTGTACGCCATGCAGTTTTCTACTGTGGGCGTATGACCTTTTAAAGGAACCGCTTGTTTATCAATAGAGAATCTGTTAAATGACATCAGTGTACTTCCATAATTATTCAAGATGTCTCCCTTACATCCTTTTGGATTCTTATTGCCCCTGCTCATCAACAAATCGAAATACGCAGCTTTTTACAAACACAAAGGGGCTTAATATAAATAATGATTTAATCAAACATAAATATGTCTTTACACACATGAATTCAGCCCTACATACTTTACTGGTATATAAAGATTACAAAAATATAAGTAATATTAAATTGTTAAAATATAAAGTATATAAAAATATAGAGCATAGTTAGATAAATCCATAACCATTTATGTGTTTTGAGTATTGGTCGGAAAACTGGAATAAGAATCGATAGGAATTCAATAAGTACGTGGATCAGAATAAATGGATTGCAAATGTTAAGGACTGACTGACTACACTCGTAAGGCTGCAATTACATGTGTACGCAAGCTAAATAAAACATGGACCAAATCCTTTGCAAATCGAATGCGTTTGTGGATGACTACGGACAGCTTTGTGACATCATTACTGTATAGAACTTTCTCCTCCTCCTTATTGACTCTATAGCGCTCGGATTCCTAAAATGACGGAATCATCGTATTTGAGTTTGAGCTTGACGTACACGGTACACATGTAAACGTAGCTTAATGGTGATCACTCAGAGAAATGAAAATTTTGTCAATGTTATTGACTCACTGGGTGACCAGCAATGATTCACTTGGTGACCAGCAATGGTACATGGTGCAAATAGACGTCACTTTGTGGACAGCAATGAGTCACTGAATGAAAAGATATGAGTCACTAAATTGCCATCAACGAGTCACTTAATTGCCACCAATGAGTCTCTTGGTGAATACAAATCAGTACCTTTGTGACCAACATTGAGGTACTATAACTTTAGCTGAATTTCCAAGTCTGTTATAGGACAAGTCAATGATATTGTTCATCCAAGAATTATACATGTAAAAAGAAATAGAACCAGATATGCTATACTAATCTGCAAAGTATCTTTTGAAATTAAAATCATGTTTCAAGCGGTTAAATAATTATGCTTTCAGACGAATAATTTTCTATTAGCTCCACTAGAGAATTTACCAAATAGTATCATCTGTCATCGAAATTCAGCATTCCCAACAATTCTCTACATGATTTTATGGCATAGGAATGTTTTATGCATGTTTGTCCCGAGCAGCCTATATTTGGAATTTTTCATACGAAATGGTTTTCCAGCAAATGTTCAAAGAATAACTTTCTGAGTTCATAAATTATTTCAGTACTCGCTACAGGGCTCGTGTTTCTTTCTATCAAACGCATTATGAATATACCATCACATCCCAGGAAGCGTACAAACTTGTGATTGAACATTTTGACGGAAAGGTCTTTAGGCAATTCCATTTTCTCTTTCTCAAATTTCATATCAAGTCGATTCTGAAGCCATATTTGTCGAGAATAATAAAATGAGTGATCTTTTATGGCCAAAAGCCAGCATATACCGTTAAAAATTATCATTGCAAAGAGCAAAAACCATGTTAAAATAAAAATCTTTTCGATAAACAAATTCATGGCCAACATGCATTGAACGGTATAGGTTTGGACGTTCTGTAGTTGTCGAATACGAAAATCACAAAGAGTTACTCTTGGAAAATATGGCGATTCAGCACGCTCCGTTCCTTTGATAAGGGCATCAATAACTTCAAATCCGTATAGTGTGTATTCTAACGCCAGTATTTTGTTCAAGATAAAGAAAATGCCAATGGTGACAATAAAATAAACCAACTTAATGAAGACGTAGAGTCCTGTGATGTAACTCTTGGTGCGTTTTCCCAGACAGAAAATCATGAAAGATGACATATGTAAAGCAATTGTTCGTAAAATTGTATTGTCTAGAACTCTGGTTACCTCCAACCATCTGTAAATATAATTAGCAACGTATTTATATTTTTCATTCTTTTCCATGTCCATATTAGCTTCGTCTGCTAAACGAACAAGTTTCTGAACGCCGGCCCCACTGACTCCGTTACACATATTCCACAAAATATTTGGGGCCTTAAAACAAAATGCTAAAATTATCAAGGTGACAGGAACCCATGGGTAGTATTGGATCTGATGTTGGTAGCGTTCAAGGTCGTTGTAAGGAATTAGTTCGTCAGATGGTACGTAATAATTACTCTCAATCCAACAATAAGCTTCCGTATAATTACATTGGGCTTCAGTGAACTGTGCTGGACACCAACAATCAATAGGATCACCAACGAATTCGTTGATACCAATCAGGGCGGCACACACGGCAAACGTTGCTACAACCCATACATGGTTAAAGCGATCAGACAAAAAATCCGTATCCACTCCAGAAAACAGTTCTTGAATGGAGCCAAATAATGTCTCAACACTCCTGGAAAAAAGGAAAATTAGAGGTGATTTCCAGGAATTTCTAAACAATAGTTGATGCTAATCGATAAGTGAGATCAGGATAATGCAAAGAATCTAATCGTTTTATGAACAGTCAAAACTCCGCATATTATAAACCATAGACCAAGTGATTGAAGAAATTATAGTCTATATATTTGTGCAAATCCCATCGTAGAAATTCAACGACACGTTCATTAAATAATTAGATGTAACTTATCCGCGGATGCATTAACACATTCTTTTTGGTAAGAAAGTCACATTTGATTTGACTCTTTACCACGCCGTGAAGACGAGAACTGGCATATAATGGAATTCGATTATGTATCAATCCAAATTTCATAGGTTTAAAGTTATGGCCTTGTTTTTATGCAATCGAATGTTCCTTCATATTTAAATATATTGAGATATCCCTGTTTGTTACGTGTAATGAAATCCAGACGTCACAAAACCAAAGAAAAACTACATTGTACTATAGAAATAAAAAGCTAATATAGTATGTATGTCATAAGCATCATTATATTAAAATGTGCTATACATATATGTTAGAAGCTATAATTTCAAGAAAAGCTAAATTGAGAAAGAAAAATAGACATATACCTGTTGAGAAAAAAGAATCGAACCCATTGCCCTATCTATTCGTGATGGAAACGTAGGGTCTGTATGTATTGTCCTACATCAGGGGTTGAACTGATACGTCCTCGTTTATTAAATAACCTCCAAAGTTCCAAAATAATATCAGCAATGGTTATTTCACTGGAGTTATCTTCGATTAATCGCAGGAGGAAAATTCCATCAATGCCTAAGAACATTATAAACTGTTCTTTTACCTCGTCATGACTTTTACGTCGCATGGCATCCATATGTGTTCTGATCCACTTCCGACGAGAGCATGGCAGAGAGAACGCGTTCAGGGCACTCAACCAAGCAAATAGGTTAAGAATAGAGAGCGCTACCAACCAGAACCATGTAAAAATAAAGATTTTTTCATTGAACAGGTTGACTGACAACAAACACTGCACCGAGTACGTTTGAATATTTTGAAGCTGCCGAATTTGGAAATCGCATAAGGTGACTCGTGGAAAACGTGACGACTCCACCAGCTCTTCTCCGTTGATTAGGTTATCTAGAACTTCCCATCCATAAATAGTGTAATTCATTGCTAAGACTTTATTCAGAAGAAATAGAAGAGTGACCGCTACGCACAAGTAACAGAATTTGATAAGTATGTAGAGACCAGTAATGAAACTCACAGTTCCTTGCCCAAAACAAAAGCACATAAACGATGATAAGGATTCAAATAACTTGTAAAGTGTGCCATAGGACAGCTTTCGTGAATGAAAAAGCCATTTATCCAAGTAATTGGCCACAAATTCAATTTTCAAACGTCTATCAGCGGCCATGGTGGATTCTTCGACTGTTTCAATAACTTTTGATATGTTAACCCCCGTCACACCGTTAAGCATATCCCAGATAAGGTTCGGAAGCTTAAAACACCCTGCTAGAAATACCAGAATTAGGGGAACCCAGGGGTAATATTTAACTTCATCTTGGCGTCTTGCTGACTCTTCCCACGGTACAGCCTGGTCATTGGGAATATAATAAGTGTCCTCAATCCAACAATAAGCTTCAGTGTAGTTACAATGGGAATCCGTGAATTCGGCGGGGCACCAGCAATGGATTGGGTCCCCAACGAACTGTTCCAAGACGACGATGAGGGCGAAGATGGAGAAAATAAAAACAGCCCAGATGTGATTCAATCGGTCAGTTATGTAATCGCTTACTGGTCTAGAAAAAAACCCTCCCGGAATATCACCGAAAATAAGGGTAATCCTGAAAATATAGTAAAGTAAAAGTAAAAGCTAAGCTTTCTATAAGCACTGTGTTCTATTATGTTAAGTCTATCAAGTCTAATTTTTGAGTAATCAAGTCGGAATTTTGTGTTAATAAGTTGAATTCAGGGAATTTTAGTGTTACCAAATTGAGTTACTTAGTTGAATTTTAGAGTTACCAGGTCGATTTTTAGAGTTACCAGGTCGATTTTTAGAGTTACCAAGTCGAATTTTATAATAGGGTTGTAAAGTTGAACTTTCGGAGTTATTTGAAAGTTGATTTTTTCGGTCACACATGCAGTCGGGTCAAATCTAATTTTAAAGTAACCATAATCGGGTTTTTTAGTTTTACTAGGTTGAATTTATTGTTACTACTTTAGGTTGTAGTGTTATTAAGTTGAAGTAAGAAATTTTAGTGTTTCTAAGTTACTTATTTCAACTTTCGAGTTACCAAGTTCAGTTTTAGGGTATATCTAATATTGCATAAACAATATAGGCTTATTTATACATCGGGCATATTTGGATTTTAAATATTTCCTTTTATTAAAACATTAACATGTTGTAGCTTTACATCGCACATTGTGCAAATACAAATTACCTGAGTCTAACCTGGTACACGGACTATCTAATTGTAGTCTGTAGCTATCTATAATAAATGTCAATATGCAATATGTTATGTACGTTAAGTTGAAACTTGATCTCATTCCATACCTAAAGGTAACTTGATAATATTTTTTAAGTTTTAAAAGATTGCATTACTAAACATCTGGGAAGAAGAATGTAGGCCAAACAGATGTTCAACAATTTCCTTATCTCTCTTATAATAGCTAAGGTGTAAATTTTATGGTAGGCTACGGGTGGAAAGTCTACAATAATTTTCTCTACAATAATACAACAAAATGCGTTTTTGGGTTGGTTTTTTTTGTCTTTTTTTGGTTGACTTTGGGGCAGTGGCGTATTTAGGTGGTATTATATAGACCATATGCCCTCAGGTCTGTCTTATTTTGAATTGAAATGCTCAAAATTCATATCAGGCCATCTTCAATCCGACAAGACTTGTCCATTGTATATTAAATCAAACCCCATTCGTTTCTTATTGAATTGGATTTTATGTAAATGGGTCTTATAAATGAAATAGTGGTTTGCTTTACGAGCTGTTAAAGTCTGTAAGATAAGCTATCCCGTATAAACACATTCATCTCCAATCAAATAAATCAACCGAAGGAAGCGATGGCAATCAAAGATTCCAATTATCATTTTGAAACAGATATTATATAGATATTGTTACGTCATGTCATGAGAACCAAAGGTCTAATTTCAATTTCAAAAGTGATATGGGTAGAGCTGTAGGTTCGGAATGAATGAAATATTTAACGAGACTTTCCGTTTCTAAAAAACAATAGCTAGATAAAGTGTTTGACGCTCTGCAGTTGTCAAATTGGTATACCTATAAAAATTTTCCTAAACATTAATTAGCAAAATTTCAAAACTACAATAATTCTACGAATTCTATATATTTTTTATTAAAATATTTGTCCATCTAAATTACTAACGAAATGTTGAATTATTTTCTAAAACATAATTTATAGTCAGTTAAAATGAAATGCAATGAATGTAGTTTTACGTCCTTCTAGGGTCTTGAAATAGCTTAGATATAATTAAAACTATAATAGAAAAGAAGGACTAATAATGATAAAAAATATATAATAGCACTTACATCTTACACGATTTAAAATCTTCCTGGTTCAACAGATGTGTCTCCTTGTTCTGTTACCTTGGTTAAATTTCGGCTTGAATTTGTATTAACTTAGTATATTACATTAGGAGCCCTCAACTCTAGTTCAGTATTAAGTTTCTCCAAAAAAGTATTACGTGTAATGTTTGTTTCGCTTGGATTGTTGCAAAATAATAGGCTTGCAAAAAGCATTATTCTACGATAGCGCATAGGCTACCCAATAACAAGCCATAACAAGCATAGATCTTATAAACTTCTTTCTTTTTATTGAAGTGTACGTGTTTGAATGTTTATTGTTAATAGACCATAAACGTTTAGAAAAACCTTGTTACGGTCCCTTATGCACATTTCATTACTTTCGAAATAAACCACAGAATAGGAAACCTTTGTTTAATTGAAACAATTATTTATGGCTTTTTATTCAATGTTCTTCATTGCTATTTCTTAATTCTTAATTCTAAATTCTTATATCTTAATTTGCACGCTTAATTGAACATTTGTTATTGAAAATTTAACATTTATATATATACAAAAATCATAATTTGTACTGAAAATGAACATTCTTCGATAAATATTCGGTTTTCCAATTATTGAATTTATATATTCTTGCCAAAAATATCCTCAAATACAAATCTAGCTCAACATATCTTCAAATGCATTAACGCCAAACACAAAACTCTACCAACTAAATGTTAAAATACATATGTTACGGAGCATTTCTCCAAATACATGTCGAATTTATTTGAAGGTCATGATTATGACGACAGGTGTCGCTGTACAACCAAGATAAAATAAGATATAAACTATCATCCACTCAAGGATTTAAAAGCCTTTCTTTTAATAGCATTAACAAGGCAACTGTTATTCTGTCCATTCTGTACAATGAAATACTAGTCATCGAATATCTACGCGAAAAAAATTTGATTTGAGTTGGTATCTGGGCCTTTTCTATCGACTGATTATTATTATTAACAGTGTCGGATTTAAAATTTGGCTACAACTGGGTACGAAAAACCATTTCTGTCCGATTTGACGCAAATTGTGCGGAATGACGGAAAACGATATTGACTTGATTATTAAGTTTGGGGGGAGTTCAATTACAAATAAAGACTGTATCGAGACTTTGAGGGTTACGGCCTTAGAATGGTGCGCTCATTTAGTAAAGAAATGTTTGAATTCAGACAAAAATTGTGTTATTGTTCATGGTGCTGGGTACGTATTTTGGTTATGTTTAGATACTACACCGTTACCATTGTAAAATGACTAATACAAATACGTAACCAACCGTCATTGCTTTTACATATAGCTATATTATGGTCTCTGTTCAGCATGTAAATACCGCATTTCTTGTTGTTTTTTTTCTATGGCAAAACGACTTATATTACAGCCTAATATATTAAGTTTCCTTATCTTTTTCTTGCACAGATCATTTGGACATCATCAAGCTAAAGAATACCATGTCTCTAGTGGATACAGTCATTTATCAACTAAATTTGAAACAGATAAAATAAAGTTAGGATTTTCCTTAACACGACAATCAGTTTTGAAGGTAGGCTACTGTATATTTACGTGTAAAGTAGACTTACATAAAATACAGTGACAAAAGTTTAAGTACCGGTACATTAGCGATGTAGCTAGGCTAGACAAACATAAATAACCCCGTATTGTGTTTTTTATTCTATTTATATTTTAAACTGTTGATAGATGTGGAATTTCATTTACCAAACTGGATTATGTCTTGCTTTCTGATTTTGAATTCTCCAGATTTCCAACTCTCATTATCAATGATTGGAGATTAGCTAAAGGCTTAATATACACAATTTTGAATTAATTTTTTCAAATAGGGCCTACTGATTGATACAGATTAACTTTATTTTCTGACAGCTTAATGCCAGTGTTATTGAAAATCTGCTCAAGGAAGGAATTCCTGCAATTTCATTGTCTGTGAGTAGAATCATTCCATTCTTGTTGGACAATATATATACAAAGATGTTGGCCTAGAATTAGAGCAAAATACTAGGGCATTGAATCATTCAAAATGTTAAAAAGTTGGCTGCATTCTGTATAGAACCCTAGTATTTATTGGCAATGTAAAATAGTATGAAAATGATAAGACAAAAACACTATGTTAAAAAACAATAACTTCAACAAATTGATCTCTTCATATTTCAAATGGATGAGGTTTGTTTTCTAGTGGTGGTTAATTGATGTAGAATAAAATAAAAACTAGAGAAACTGATTAAATGATTACACAAGATATCTGGACAAAATGAGAAAACAATTCCCATCTTGTACTGTTGATATAATACTATAATACTGCACTGGACACTGGACATTGTCAATACTCAATATAAACAGAATGTTTCTGATGGAAAGCCTGTGGTAAACCACAGAGGTCATAAGGAATAATAATTATACTAGTATGTCTTAACATTGCAGCCATTTTTGAGCTGGAAAACAGATAACAGAATAGTACAAGAAGATGGATGTGAGATGATACACGCAGTTTTAAATCAAGGTTATATGCCTGTGTTACATGGAGATGCTGTGTTTGACAAGAGTTTAGGTTGTACCATCCTTAGTGGTGATACCATTATTGAGGTATGATTTGACTACTAGGGAATGCTGATATAAGGGTAGATAGAATTCCTTCCCATTCACTTGATTCAATTCATGGCTTAAGTTAAGAAGTCAATAATGTATCTAACAATCATGGACAATTGTGAAAAACTTGTTATTTCAAAATTCATACTCGCAAACTTGAGTATTTTGTTCCTTGTCAAGTTTTTTGACAGCTGAATTTAGTCACTTTGAACTTTTCATTTTAAAATGCAGCAAATGTGACTTTTGATGTGCTAGATCTGGACTGGCACACTATGTGAAAGATATGCAAACCCATATCTGCATTGGCCTGAAGATATATATTAGTTAACTCAAGTTGTACATTGTAGAAAGGGAAGAAATGGTATAGCATAACATTATTGTTCAACATCCTTATCAATGAAGTTATGGTATATTTAAACAATATTTATATCCCTTATATAATCTTTCATTCTTAGAGAATTTGTGAAAAGTTTGAAGTTAAAAAAGTGGTGTTTATATCAGATGTTGATGGTATTTTTGATAAACCTCCAAATAATTTAGGTGAGTTAAAATCGGAAACTGAAATCAATTAATTGTGTAAGCCAATCAGATTACATTTACAATTGAGGCTAACCTGGTTAGAATAGATGTTGAAAGCTTCATGTAACTTGATTTGGTTGAGTAAAACCATGGAGGTTGTGGGTTCTTATATTAACCAGTGCAAAAAAGCGCTGACCTAAAGTGAATAAATCATATTTCAATATTATTCTAGTAAACCCAGCTGTAACTGATTACAGATAATTCTTAAGTTCAATACCAACAGCTTTGGCTGCGGAACTTATTTGACAAAAATTGGTGAAAGTTCAAGAAAAATAAGCAGAATATGTCTTTTTTATTTTGATATTTTTCAGAGGCTAAACTTATAAAACATATTCAAGTTAGAACAGACGGAGACATTTTCATGGATATCCAAACATCACAGTCTGTAAATGATGTCACTGGAGGTATAAAACTTAAACTTCAAGCTGCTATTAATATTGTGAAAGCATCACCGAAAACAACAGTTTATATTTCTAAAGTTAGTTCCAATTCAACACAAGATATTTGTTTAAATGATAACCTGGATGAAAAGACATTTGACAGTACCAAAATAAGCTTGAAGAAATAATGATGTTGTTACTAAATAAATTTAATAACTCAGGATGATATAAATATGCTGTGTTTGGTTGAAATAAAACCTAAACATTCATTTCATTTCTCCTATATTTGTTCACTCGACACTTGGATATTATATATAAGAAGGGCTTGGATTAAGAGCTTTTTTGCAAGCTGCTTGCCACACAGGTCTGGTAGAGCAGTTAACATGTCCAAGAATCATATGCCTCTATTTGCATCAATCATAGAACTATTTTAAAGTTCTATGATCAAATATAGGGTTGAACCTCAAAGTGCTGCATATTCCAGTATTCCAGTATCTTTCCACTTGTTATCTTGGTATCTTGGCTTTATTCCTGTCAGCCGCTTCCATCAATTTCAGTGAACTTTCAACCATTGAGAACTTTTAAGACAGAAATAGAAGATTCCATGAAATATATTTCATGATTGTAATCACATTGAATTCAATTCCAAGATTTTTACCCAGCAGTCTCTTTACACTTTGTCACTTATATAACTTAATCTTTATAATTTTAACAAACTGAGTTTTATATCACTTCTAGCAGTTGTCACAAGTATATCTTGAGCTCCTTGTGAAAAACCTCAACTGAGATTATCAACAAAGCTCAAATCCAAATATACACTACTGTGTGTGTTTCTCTATGAGTTTATTATTGTCATAAAGATGTCTTTTTCATACAATAGTTCAATTTAGGTCTGTTTTCTTTTAAGTCTGATAATTTCTCTTGGAACACCTATAAATAACAAGAAAGCCAATTTAAGTTTTGAAATGGGTGATGATTTTAGTATATGGAAAAATTGATAACAGAAAATTATATTTAGTTGAAAAAAATTCAATGGATAGTTACAATCTAGAGATCAACCAGAAATGAGCCCTGAAAAATTAAACTAACCACACTGCATAATAGAACAAAAGTAATTGTTTTTAAAAGATAAACAAATAAATTAGGTCATCCAATATTTTTGGGTTTTTTCAGATAACTGCCATATTTTAGTGAAAATGTAGTACAAGTCTATGTAAATATTATACCAGCTTCTATGACATGTACAACTTCACTCGAAAATACACCATTTTCTTGTAGAAAAGACTCAAATAACCTAGTTCCTCCACCAACACCAAAATAATATGATTTAGCTGAAATTAATCTGCAATGGCTGAGGAAAATCAATGATTATGTTCTGATACATGATGTGTATGAGCCCACATTCAGCTATCTGCAAACCTTTTTGGAATTGAAATCTGAATCTCTCCAATTCAGCAGTTTGATTCCAGGAGGTTATTCTCATGGGTATCTGGAATCCAATTCTACAAGAATGAAAATTCAAAGTTATGTTAACTTTGAATTTTCATTCTGAAAAGTGTTATGCAAGGGTAAATTTATAAATAATAAAGCAAATGTTGAATGTTCAACATTTATTATTTGTATCGAATCTTATTTTCACCAAATCCACCTAAAATTCCATAGTTTTAATGGAAATATAGATATTTATCAAGGATACATTTGACCCTGTGGATGTAGAAGAGAATTTAAAGCTGAAACAAGTTGTGTATAATGATTGGGATTATAAATAGTTTCAGCTGATAATATATAATCATATCTATAATAGAAAATATCAATCATTCAATAACCAATCAAAACAATATCAGCTATGTAGATTCATACTTGTAATTGACTATATATTACTGTAACCTGCTTCACTTCGGCCTTCTTCATACCATAGGGCCAGTCATTGGTTGTTTTAAGACTTGTCCATCTTTTTTGGAGTGATCAGACAGTTTATCCAACCCTTTTTTGTGATGGATGCATCTGTTTTATTTAATTAGGAATTAATTATGTATCACCTGATGTGCTGTTATATGACTAGGTCAATTTTATGTTTCTTATAATTATTGGATGAGGATGGTCGTGGCTATAGATTTGTATGAATTAGGCCCATGCAGCAGACAGGAAAAGGTCATTTTGACAAATATCACTTACTTAGTTTGAATTAAAACTGTTGGTAAGGTATTCCAATCACCAGCTATATAACGACATTCACACTTTCTTTCTTCAATATTTAACTGTACATTAGGTATAGTAAATTCTTTTATAACTTCACTATTCTAAAAAATAACATTCATAGATATGTCTGTTATAAATCATTTAATAATTTTTGTTATATCTTTCCATAATATCATTGTTATCTGTTTGAATAAATTCAGTTATATCTGTTTTGAATAAATTCAGTTTTATCTGTTTTGAATAATTTTAGTTATATCTGTTTTAAATCATTAAATAATTTCAGTTACCATTGTCATAAGTCATTTAATAATTTTAATTATATCTGTTTTAAATCATTAAATAATTTCAGTTACCATTGTCATAAGTCATTCAATAATTTTAGTTATATCTGTTATAAATAATTTAACAATTCCAGTCAAATCATTTCAGCTATTTTACTTTTTAAAATTCTACTTACATAGTCCTGAAAGTGAACAGACTTGGCTCCATTGACTACAGAATATATTCCTGGTAATCCACCACCACATCCTAGCTAATTATACATAGAAATGTTAGAATTATTAAAGAAAACATATTTGATATGAAATAATATTTAATTCAATATAACTGAACCAACACAAATTGAAAACGATTTCAAATCTGATGTTGCAAATGTTTCATACAATACCTCCAGAACATTTTTACCATTGAAATCTCCTTGTTGGGATATTAAATAGTTGACTAAATCTATACCACATTCCCATATTGTCAACCCACCTAAAATATTTTAAGAACAAAAAAAAAACAGAGGTATGGCTGGTGTTTAAGATAGAGTTAGCAGTTATAACATAATGTATCTTGGAATAATATTATTTTGATCTTTGTGGCATGGGTCAAAGGTGTAGCTAACTCAGGGAGAACACTGGCCCTGGCATCAGAGTGTTCTCATTCTAGGATGGTAATGGCATGCAAGGTCTTGGGAATTAAGACTTTTGTCACTAATTACATAATGAATTGTATTAATCCCACATCAGATTTTAACTTTTGACTAGTGATACAAATACTCAATGAAACACTTAACCTAGTTTAGCAAATATAAGAACAACAATATCTCTTTTTTCTGCAATACATATATTCCATATATTGATAATTTTTCACCTATAGTCACTCAACAATAGCCAGATCCTGAAATGGAAAGTAGGATGTAAAACTCCATTCAGTTTCATTCAATACCTACCTTCATAAATACCTTCTATAAGATCTGATTGTTGATTTAGAGCCTGTGATATATCAGATTGGTTTTCTTGACTCTGAGTTTTGACCTTTTCTTCTATAACATTAGGATCCAATACTGTTAAGTTAAAACCATTAACAAACCTTTGCTGGATTAATTTGGGATTCTTTGTCTGTAATGACAATAATGTGTCAGATTTATTCAAAAGCCTTATAATAAATTTTGCTAAGAAGAGTGTCGTAGTTGTCCACTAGGATACTTTCCTACAATTTTGTAAGTGGGACAGATATACAGCGTTAAATGCCTTTTATAACATATTTGTCCAAAACACCTGCCTCTATTCCAGCCTCTGATGGATATTTTGACAGTTGTCAGCTGGAGTAGAGTCAGAATAAACTGACCCTGTTAAAAGGGGATTTTCCATACCTCCAAATGCGTTTTCTCTAACATAATATTGGATTACCTTTAAAGATGGGTTCCCTTATATTCATTTATGAAAATGAAAAATGCTAATACGAAGTAGAGGTGTTCCAGTTACTTCAAATACCAGTTTGTCCATGATTATTTCATAATTAGCTAAATTAGAAGAGAGTTACCAACAGAATTCCAATGAGTGACCGATCAAGAAAGGTCAAAATGTATTTTTTCGTTATCCAGACTGTTCATACATGGACATTTAGGATTAGTTAAAATACTATTAATCATATGCAATAAGAACATAATGATATAATTAATACACATGGTAATTCGTTAGAAACACCAATTAATCAAAAAGTTTGCTTAATTTGACAATAAAAAATGAGGAAACCCATCTTTAAGATGATTGTAAATTAGTGTTGGGCATCACCGTAACGTTCGTTTTGTTAGCATCACGTGTCTCTGTGCCCTTTGAACTTTTGGCTGCTTACACAGTTTTAAATGGCCGGTGTTAGATTAGTTTCGCCAAAAAATAAAATTTGACAGAACTGGAGACATGACATAGATGGTGTAGGGAAAAAATGATAATATGACTAACCTACAAAAATATTCATCTTTCCAATACATGTATACCTGGGTTTTGCAGATCTGAGGTGTCTTAATAGGTTTAAAACCCCAGCACCTGCAGAGATGCAGAATGTCCCAATTTAACAGGGCCATTTTTCTGCCTCTACACCAGCTGACATCTGTCCAAATATATATCAGAGGCTGGAATAGAGACAGATGTTTCGGTCTAATAATTACATTAATTTTATACTGACCTGTTCACCAACTTCAGGAAATATTTCAAAAGCTTCTCTACTGCAAGAAATTACATCTTTTGTGGAGTTTGATAGACTTTCCTCTTCCTTCTGTACGTCACCTTTAAAAAGAGTATGAGTATGGTATTATAGTTTCCTTCCATGCACTCATTGGAGTTTTCTGAATTTGATTTTTTCAATAATTTCATTAAAATCCAAAATAAAGTTTCAAATTCTAAAACAAATAAGTTTTGACGCCCAAAAGAATTTTGTACATTTATATTGTTGTATTTTTTTCTCTTTCATGTGTTTGCATAAGAAAAAAAACACAGTTCTCAAGACTGAAGAAAAATTTCAATGACGTTATGATAATTATAATTAGAACTTACTATTTTCGCAGCTGGAAAAATTAAATTTGAATGACATTGAAAAATATATGTTTTTTAAGATTTCTTCTTCATAAAATATATTTCATGTACCAAGGTAAGGTAAGGAATAACTAAGCCATGTGCATTTGTTTACATACATTAATTTGTATTCGATTGCCTTATCCAGGTCATATGCTGAGACAAAATATGTCCGAAAATGTTTTTAAAGACATTCGAATCAGATGTTACTGCAAAATATTTCATTTATTTCCAGGGTGTTATTTATATTTCTAAGCATATTTCCCACATAATCGTGTAATATGGTGTGTGTTAACTTTCTGAAAATTTCATTAAGTCATTAAGCCTAGGTTCTTTCGGCTGTTAAAAGTCGACTTCTCGAACACTTAAAATGGCAGCGCCCAGTTCAATAGTCGTATCTTTTCGAGCATTTGTGAATTGTAAGAACTGTGTTGAAATTTCAGAAAACAACGACTTGGCAATATGTACCGATGACGGCTTTTACGTTTTGGTAATTATTTATTATGTTGTCAGATAAATCTAGTGTTCCTGATGAGAGTTTTTTTTTTTTTAGATATGTGTCTCGGTTTTCCAAACTTCAAGCATGCCAATTTTTATTTATTTTAGCCGAGAACTTTGAAAACAGCCATCAGAGACTGGAATAGAGGCAGACTATTTATATTACTATTACTGTCTGACAACATAGAGAGCTCTGAATTGAATTTTCTCATTTCATGAATAAGCTTATTTAAAATAAAATTTTAAACTCTATGCCATTGGGTCTAACAATGTCTTTGAGTCAATAGAAATATAAGGTTCAGTGATTTGACATTTGAAATAGACACACTTCCCTTCCAAGAAATACCCTACTTTTCATGTCATGTTTACAAAAAATAACTTTTCCAGTGGTTAGCATTTTCATCAACCCAAAGGCAATCTGAGACTCTCAGTAGGGCCTAATACACTTTTCCATGGCATATTGTTCCAATTATTGATAAGGATTGATAAATGGATTTCAAAGGAAAAGTGTAAGGTCAAAAGGGCGCAGCCATTTGGGATTCTACTATCAGGCTACCCGTAATGGTATCGTCAACAAAGCAATCTTGTGGCGAGAGACCTTCCGTGTAAGAACGTTTAAATCATAGGATTTCCATGAGGATTTCAACTTGGATGTGAATAAAAACAATGACATATGTAAATAAACATATAAAATTTGTATGTGTTGTATTGCCGAAATAAGGTAAAAGATGAAGAATTAGTGGGTCTGTGACGAATCGAAATCGAACAATGCAATGGAACGTTTATATTTCAAATAAAACCATCGTAACCTTTTAGGTTACGACCATCAAAATTGAGGTAACCTGCCTATAGGTTTACGTTAGCTAGTCTTTGATTCAAGGCCTGAGATAAGCCACCTATCCATTAAGTAACTTTACTTTCGAAGGTTGTCAATGAAGACTGGTTATTTGCTGACTTTGCAACCTCTTGTAACAGGGCAAAAAATTTTGCTATTGAAATGAATGAGGACTGACTTTGTTTATCTCAAGCCTAGTCAAGATAGGTTAAAGGGGCATTGATTTGAGTGTTGAATATATGTAAATAGTCTTCAGAAGTACTAGAAATGTAAGGAAATTGCATTAATTCCTTTTAAAATACTTGTAACTAGGAATTTTACTCACTATTTCTATATATGTCTTTTCTATATCACAGTGTATCTTATAATGATGAGTCGTCATTTTAACATTCATTTTCGAATAATTCTGGACACACATGGATTTGAAGGCTCAATTTTAAACGGTGAGCTGTGAACACTATTACTGATTGGCTTAACTAAAATATTATCGTATCTGAGACTAAGGTTCGATTGGTAAAAAAAAATGACACACCTGTCCCTTTAAGATTATTCATCATTTTACAGGAAATTGCTAGTGTGAATATGGCATTAAATTTTATATACTTTTTCACTGAATTCACTATTCAATCTTTTTTCAAATTAGGAACACAGATATGATGCAAATTTTACAGACTCCGCTCCACATTTTGAGAAAAGATTTGTACCTAGATCAGAACTGGAAAACACTAATGAAGATTCTTTTAGCTTGAAACAAGCTGAGCAAGTATTGTCTGAAGGTTTGTTTTAGATTAATTGGTCATCCCTGAGCTGTCAACTGCAGTGGGGCATTGTTTGCTTCAAAATAATACAAATGAAATGCAGATCTGATTGTTTTGTTTCTTTTTTTTTATGTAGTTATGATCTGACAAAATTCTTCTTAGAGTAGACGGCATACTCAAATATTTTGTCTTTTGTAGAGGAATTACAATCATCTATTTTAAATAAGACTGTTATACCATCCTCTTTATCACAGTCTTGTCATAAAACATTATGTGGTGTTACTTGGTCACCTAATGATGCTGGCCCATTACAGAGGTATGTCAGAATACAAATAGAGTACATTTTGAAATATATATCATGGTGGTAAAAAAAGTGGTGGAAATATAGCTAATGGTGCATTTTGACTTTATAATCGAACAAAGTTGATATTTATGAGGATTACGCCACCTACTGACTAAAATGGAAAAACCAAAATAAACTTAACATTATGAACAAAAATTCATATATATCATTGATTCACAATTGACAAAGCAGGTACTTTCCAGAAACATTATGATTTGTCTACTACTAGATTGGACTAGATAGATAAGTTGCTTTTGAAGCTATAGATTATCTTTTGTAGAAGTTGATATATTTTAATTTTTCTACTACTGTTCTTTCTGTATATACATGTTATTACACATTATCTAATTTGTAGATGTTTGCTGGCAGGTTTGTCTCATGATCACAGATTAATCATTTACATTTCAAAGCGTACTGATGACTTTTCTTTGGTGAGAATTATTATTTATCATTACATGATAAAATTCACAGCATTTACATACAATGCCTCAAAGTGATAATCAAGTTTAGTCTTTGATCTCTGTGAGTTGCATTAAAGCGCATTTAGTACTGATCCCCCTCAATAAGTTTATTGAACTTAGCTGAGTTATGTATCGTGTGATGTTTGATGTAGATTTTTATCCAATCCTTTATTTTATAGCTGTGTGAACTCTCTGAAATATATAGAGAATATTGTAAAAAACATAAAAAGAATTGTGATGATCCAACGTTACACAAGATCAAAGAGAAGGCTTACAAAATGGCTGCTGTTGGTGAGTTACTAAAATTTTTTTATAAACTTCAGTTATCAAATCCTTGAGTTTAGACTCTTCTTTCAGAGATAGTTCAAGAAGTTTTAAGTTTACAGGTATTTAGAAATGTCTTATAGTTCATATCAAAATGTAGAATAGAATTGCACTCTTCCAGATCACCAAAGAAGATTTGAAAAATCACAAATTATTTAGAAATTTGAAATCAGAGAAATAATTCCTCTTTTACAGAAATTTTATGGTCAAAAACTATCAAGATCCAATGT